CACCTAGTATAGTTCTCTTCTCTTAACCTGGACATGGTAAGAGACTCGATGAAGGCAGCTTGGTCTGGGCCACGTTGCAGTGATGCACTTTTGTGGCTGGAGAGTGGTTTTCGTGAGTTAAAAGGGGTGTCAAAGGAGGAACTGTGAAAGGGTGATCTGTGATGAACAAATGTGCAGGTGTCTGTTGTGCAGCTGCAGTTCAAGCCTTTAAAAGTCATTAGGAAGTTGCAGCGGGGGGAGATAAACAGAGAATAAGATTTCTTTTAATCTTTATCTCCAAGCTGAGTTATAATGTGCTTTTGTTCTGCAGTGGGAGAGAATAAATGTAACAGGCTTTTCCCATCCTCTGCACAATGTTTTGCCCTTTAGTATTTTCCCTCTGAGGATCTTACAAGGCTTCATAAAGTCTCGTAATGCTTCTCTGAGGCTGTTCCCCCTGATCCCACTCTGCAGGTAGGGAGCTGGGGTGTGGAGGGGAACAGGCTCGCCTGAACGGTGTGGCAGAGCTGGAAATAAAATCTGGTAGCACTGACATGTGGCTAGAAAGCATTCCCTGCTCTGCTGTTAAAGGTTGTCCAGGACTTCTAGCTTTTGCTCTGTTAGCTGAAAAAAAACCCGCAAAGCACGAATTAACCAGGGCTTTCTCTTTTCTCTTGCATTAAAGATGGTAATGGTGGCTTATACCGTGCTTTGGTGGATAATAAGATCTTGGATGACATGAAGCAGCGTGGAATCCAGTATGTCCATGTATACTGTGTGGACAATATCCTTGTGAAAATGGCAGATCCTGTCTTCATAGGCTTCTGTGTTTCCAAAGGAGCAGACTGTGGTGCAAAGGTGAGGCAGAGCTAATGCTGGGCCATTTTCCCACCGGGGCTTAAGGTCTAATTATGCTTGGAAGCTGCTAGTTGGGGTGGGCTTGGGTGAACCGGGATGTTCAGACCTCTGCCCAATAGCAGCTCACTCCAAGCAGATTTAGAGGAGCTGCTGGTTGCCTGTGTTGCATTCAGGATCCTTACATGTAGGTATCCTCCACTCTTCCCAGAGTACTGTGGCAAATAAACTTCAATTAGAACAGGGACTGTAACTGCACAGGGAACTACGAACTGGAGTTGCTTCACCGTTGTGCTCTGCCCTTTCTGCAAAGGCACTTGCGCTATCTAGAAGTCGTATTGGACTGCGTTGTGCTTTTATAA